TTAAAACTCATTCCCCATGACATGACCAATATCCTACTTTATTTCTCCCGCTCTCTCGTTCCTAACTCTTGATCTATAAATAGAGCTACCTTTTACGTGCGATGCATGCCTGAGTCTTTGACGGCCATGGTCGTTCTGCTATATGGCCGATGTGGTTATTTGGTATTTGGGAGGCTGTGATATTGTTGTTATGGGTCATTGATACACTTTTATCCTTGCCTCCTACTGTTTGTGAGGTATTTGAATGAATACCAAGCCATGGCAATGACTTACCTCAATACAATAAAGTCATTTCTATAGCGCTCTTAGACCCCGTTCTCACTCACTTTGAAAGTGGTCTTAGTTAGACCGCTCCAGACCGCTCCAGAGGAACGGGTCTTGAGGAACGGTTTTGCGAGCGTTCACACTCCGAGAAGTTTTTATGGCTCAAACCGCTCCACGAGTCAAAGTGGTCTTGTTGCTATGGCAGCTCAGGTAGGCGGGTCAATTTTTTCGCGCGCGGAATCCAAACCCTATGTCACCTGATGTCCCGTTCGCGACGCGTCCCGTATACATGTATATGTGTAGTGCCTGCCCGATCGCTCATCGCGCAGAACGTCACTTCCGTTCAAAGTACGCTTTCCGTTCACATTGCACGTTGGAGCGCTCTGGAGCGCTCTTAATAAGACCCGCTCCTCAAGACCACCTCGGAAGGTGGACTTCTGGAGCGGTCCAGAAGTCCGCTTCCTGGACCACTTTGAGCATTCTCACTCACCTAAGAATCTGTAATGCAAACTCCACTACTGCTTTTCCTCTGTATCGATCCACTTTCAAAACATGCTTTTTTGAATTCCTGCCAATTTGCTAAGGAATGATCATGACATTCCTGTGTCAACTACAAGGCCACTGTAAGGTGTATTTTCATAGCATAGTCAATGCAAGAATTGTAAATTGGCTTCTATCACATGACTGGTTTGAAATAAGTAAAGTATTTGGTTTAGCTCAGCCAAGTTACTATTGAAAACAATTATAATATTCCTCTTTTCATACAGCGCCCAATACATCGTTACAACGATGTGTCTCAGCGCTTTACAGATATATTGAAGGATGGGTACCTTATATCTGTGCTCAAAATACACTATAAAAATGATGATCTACTCTTTTGCCAATCTCTTATGACCATTCAAAAGATATTTGGATACTACTATAACATAGGTGATAACAGTATCCATTTACTTTTCCTAGCCACTATCCAGATATATATATATATATATTTTATAGTTGAGATGTCCATGTAGACATTGATTTCTCTCATTCGTTCAATCAAATGTTTGCCTGGCAATAAGGGCATGAAAAGGTGTAATCCTAATCATGCTTGTAATTAGAAATATAATTGCTAACACCCTTTAACACCCTTTTGATGGGCACATATTTGTAAATGGCTCTGCACAGTCCATTTCCATCTGGCTGTATTCACCCTAGTTGTAGATAAATTGCTAGCGATGCTGTAATAAACATACAAAACTAGTCTTGCCTATTACCTAGAGATATTGAATTTGATTACGCACCTGTCTGTGAGTCTTGTACCTTGATATAAGTTGCTGATATAATATGAGTAGCAGGTGCCGTTAGATAAAAACTATTTATATTCAAAGTATCATTCAATTCATATAACATTTTTCAAATCAGAATGGTGCTATCTTGGTTGGCTAAGGTTACCAATCATGAATCTCATCATCTGAGAGTGCATTAAGAGGAATGAACAAACAAGTTCAATGCACCTGTATTCTGTTTCTGTAAAGACTTTAATTCTCACTGGTTAGTTCCCTTGTGAGCTTAGTTTTATAAATATGGCCCAGATTTTAAGATTGTAACTCTGTAAATATTTCTGAGGAAATTTCTCATAAAACATGATTGTGAAGACTTTCAAGAAATCTGGGACCTGTTTCACAAAGCCCTTCTTCAATGACAAAAATCAGTGACAAATCTGCTAATAACCAATCAGAATCAAGGATTTCAGTAGCTTATAACAAAAACTGTCATTTGTCACTGATGACAAGTTTTGTGAAACGGGGTCAAGCTCAAAGACAATTTCAATGCACTATTGGTATTGCTTATAGAAATCATATGTTCTCATTTCAATATTTAATGTGTGAGGCTCTTGGAATTCCCCTTGAGTTAATTTCTTGATGGTCTCTGTAATCATGTTTGCAATATTACCAGACAAAAGTGTCTTTCCCCTGCATGCGCTGACCCAGTTAATCAGGTACATTCATTTACGTGCAGTTGTCCGAAAGAAGTTGTAGATGCCATTAACCAGTACTTGCCATGCTACAGCCCATTTAACATACAACAATCCCTTTACAGTGGTTATTTTGAAATGGTCCCCATTTCTCCTAATACCAAGTTTGGCATCACGATGTGACAAGGGGTAGAATTCATCCCCTGTAATTAGTATGATGATACATGTATCATCATGTTTGGTATCCATCTTCAGACTAGATCAAGAAGCTGATGCAATGGACCATAGATAATGAGTTATTAATGATCTAGTGAGGACAGATGGGTACTATCACCTCCTTTTTAGAGTAATATTTGCCAGTTTTCTCATGAAGATGTCTCAGATGAGCAGTTTGCCACTCTTGAGATGATCGGTAGGTGTACAAGATAGTTCAGCCCATCTGGGGGGGCATTTCACAAAACTTGTCATCAGTGACAAATTACATTTTTTATTATAAGCTACTGAAGTCCTTGCTTCTGATTGGTTATCAGCAGATTTGTCATTGATTTTTGTCATTTGTCATTGAAAAAAGGCTTTGAGAAACGGGTCCCTGGTTCTTCCTCTTCACACCTGCACCTTCAACACATAATGTAAAGCAGTGAGCTATCAAAAAAAAAAAAATCAGTTTTTAGATACACACAGAATATTAAGAATACTGAATTAAGAGAAAAGGGCTAGACCGGATCTAAGTTGAATTTATTGAACCAGTTACGAATGTACAATATCTCTATGATAAATCTATGCAAAATTAAATTAAAGTTTTTAGAATTAAATCAAGTTACTTTTTTGAGGTGAAATATATGGTATCGGCTCCTTGTCTTTTTGTCTCCATTTGAAGAAAAAAAAACAATAAAAAGTAAGGACAGCTTGAAGTAATAATGTTTATTTTCATGATAATAGAGATACACATGAGAGGATATCTGGACAATATGCTTTGGGAATTACACTATTATAATTTATTTCGATATCAAGGTACAACATTTTGTTTCTTTTTGAAGATGAGTTTGAAGGTAATATTGTTTTATCTGCCTTTGTGCATTAGCAAGGTGTATGCCTCTATCAGTGTGTATATATATATGCCTCTCCATGCTGATGGCATTTGGAAGCATTCAATACTGAAAGCAAGAGAAAGAGATGCATGGATGTAACTATACCTTGTAGGCATAGGTACAGGAGTGATACAGGAGTGATACAGGAGTGATGAGAGATAACAGATGGTACTGAAGGTCATTGGCATATCTGTCTTCTCTCTCTCTCTCTGTCTCTCTCTGTCTCTCTCTCTGTCTCTTTCCCTCTCTCTCACCCACTCCTCCCTATCTTTATATCTATCTCTCTTTCACCCACTCCTTTCCTCTTTCTCTCTCTCTCTCTCTCTCTCTCTCTCTCTCTCTTTCTCTCTCTCTCTCTCTCTCTCTCTCTCTCTCTCACCCACTCCCTCCCTGTCTTTATATCTCTCTCACACATACCCACTGCCCCCTCTCTCTCTCTCTTTCTCTATTCTCTCTCTCTCTCTCTCTCTATTCTCTCTCTCTCTCTCTCTCTCTCTCTCTCTCTCTCTCTCTCTCTCTCTCTCTCTCTCTCTCTATTCTGTGATTTTCTGAGAGCTTTAAAGATAATATTCAGTTTTTGTAGTAAAGACAGCATCATTTACATTACTAATTGTGTGTGACTTTTATTTGTTTATGTATAGTTTTTTTTTTAATTGTATGTCATTATCATATCATAGATATATTATAATCTATAATTCAAGTAAAATACATCTAGTTGAACTTAAAATATTGACCGTAATTGAATTGAGATTATATATGTCTTTTAGCATGACCGACCTGAAATCATTATGATGCTGGTCTAAGGTTATATCACAAATGTATTTCAAGATTATCGCTTTGATAGGAAGTGATCTCTTCACTCAAAAGTGGTCTTTAAATAGGTCTTGGGTCTCTGAAGTCTTCAGTCAAAACTTAAACTAAAAGATAATATGATTACATCTTCAACAAGGAGACATATCAATTGTCCAGATGGTTGTTTGGAAACATATGTGGAAGATAGTGTATATAAAGTGGGACTGCACTACTTGTAGCTACTTGCGCCCTCTATACAGCCAACAATACCTAAGCGGTACCTGTTGATCCCCATGGTACCCTTTTTTCTTATGTTAATTGAGAGCTGATTTGATGAGATAACTACCTGTCAGTGACCAAGCAGGGAGGTCTAATCCCTCCTGGCCAAACTTGTGCAGATAGGCTTTTAAAAGGAATAATATATCATATATAATGAAAACCTCAATGTATGCTCTGATATATTCTCCAGATTTCTCAATAAATAATGTATACATTTCAAGTCTACTTATTTTTTCTTATTTTATTATATGAACATTAACATTGTCCTTCTTTATTTTCTTTCAAGTTAATAGGCTGGAGAGTACAAGTATAAACATTGGTTTTCACTACTTTATTCTGTGTTTGGTTTGTGCATGTGTATGTTCTATTTTGTGCTGTTTGTTTCATGTCAATCAATGTTATCAGATTTTTTTATTTACAATGTATATTTGTTTTAGAAAAAGAAATTAAGGGCTCATTTTCTTTTCTTTTTAATTCAGGTCAAAATGTCCAGCTAGCTTCTGTCCTCGCTATTGTTCTTTGTAGCTAGCTGCACAGGACAATAATACATTCTCTTGGGTGTAAGGGATTAACTGAAAGTTTGTATTTACAAGAATTGTTTTCTTATTTTTGTTTCATAGCATCTTCTAACACCAAGCCTGTAGTGCAAGACAGCCGGTATGATTACATGAATCAACTCCCATCAGCTGATGTTGTAAGTTATTAACCTGTTGAGTACTGAATTCTCTCATGCCCATAGGAATAATACAAGAACCACTCGGTTCCAGTAGGCAAAGGGTTAAATGTTGAATATCCTCCTTATTAATAGACATTGCCATTAGCAGCTTTCTTTAGATTGTTGAAAGTTTTTAATGTTATATAATTTTGCATAAGTCTTAAATGTTGGATATAACCTTGCTGATTTTGAAGTAAACTGCTGAGGATTGTTATTTTGTGCGTTACGGCAGTAGTTTGCCATCTTTTCTTACAATACTTGTTTTCTTTCATTTGGTAACAAAAAGAAAATGAGCAAGAAAATGTATACTCCTCTTTTAATTTTTGTTCTTCCCCATAATGCTTTACACTGTTATATTTTTCTAAGGGTTTGGGGGAAAATTTTGATTTTACCGTGCATGAGTTATTTGTCATTAATCAGTTATCTTTTGAATATTTTCTAAATCTCCTTGTGACACTTTACAGAGGCAGATCAGTGAGAAGAAACCACGTCAAGTCCGAGAGCCAGACGCCTCCTACAACAAAAGCCTTCCTGAGTACCTTCCTATCAAGTCCCCATCCATCTCAGACGATCGTTTCGATGATTTTGATTTCTCACCGCCCGTCACTGTCACAGCAACCAAACAGGAGGTACTTCCCAAAGTTGAACGTACTCCCTCTCTAGAATACAAGGTGGGGATTTTGAAATATTTAGGCACGGGCATGGAACATGGACGATCCAGCTAGCACGGTCATGCAGTGGTGGTGGTGGTGGTGCTTTTCACTTCTAGCAAATTAAAATGATTGCATTCAGCCTGCCTAGATACTCTGAACAAGCAATTTGAGAGAAAGAAGGGCATTTACTCAATCTAAAAGTTTACAAGATCTCCGTGTATGAGTTATCACCCTTCAGGGCAGGCACTCAGTAAATGATACGAGAGTGAAGCCTTTCCTTTCTCTTGTTTTGCAAACAAAATCTTTTCTGTTTCTTTTAATTTTGCACGGACTGGTGTGACATTACAAATTATGAAATAAAGATAAAGAAATAATTGACTTTTGAAGAACTTTCAACAATTTTGGAGGTTGAATACAATCTAGATATGACTATTCTTACTTAGATTTAGATTTATGTAGGTAGTTGATTAGGGAAGATAGACTATGATGTAGCAGTTCAGAGATAAATACAAACAGAAAGATAGATAGAAAGAGATTGACTGAAATGAAGACAAACAGAAAGATAGATAGAAAGAGAAAGACTGAGATAGAAATGTAGAGCTAGATTTGCATAGATAGAAACAAAATATTTGTAGATGAAATATATAAAGATGGGTAGAAGATAAACATCTAATTAGAGATAGATGTAGATGTAGAGATAGATAGGATAGAGAGAGCTCACCAAGCAGTAGATCATGGGAATTACAGCAGGCCCTAATTTTTAAAATCTAATATCTCAAAATAGGCGACTCTTGTTGTAATGAGAGAATGAAATGTCCTCAGTACCAAAATCTCCTGACTTATTACCCCTTTTACATTTGATACAGGTCACACATTTCCCTCATTCATGATAATAATGGTTAACTAAACATTCAAAGATTTCAAATTTTTAGCATGTTTTGATGTGATTTCCCCCTTTAACTCCATTCCATTCCAAGCCATTTTGGTTTTCATTGAAAACAATTTGCAGTGTTTATTTTTTTCTTCAAAAAAGTTTGTTGAATATGAATTGGTCTCATAGCCTTCTTACATTCTGTGTGAGCGATAATTAAGGATCATCTTAAAGATTCTATGTCCCTTTGGCAGCCAACATCATATTCTGTATTACTTTGCAGGAATTATGAATATGTCATGTATGTCCTATCTGTGAAATTTAAACGTCAGTAGTGTCCTAATTTTCAAATTATGCAAGGAAACCTGTTTACTTGCTAGACTTCACTGTCAGACACTATTGAGTGACTGACTGGCTTTCTTTCTTCTTTGGTAATAATATACATAAAATGAGCTGTAAAGGGTACATGAGCATTTTTCTACATCAATAACCCACTTCTTGTAATGGCCAAAATTAAACTAATTGAATCTTTGCGCATCATAAAACGTACAACCATTCAGTATAATGGTCTGAAAATCAGACTATTACTTACTGACTCTATAGTTCCTAAGTCGATTCGACAACTAATAGTCGTTATTTTCCCACTTAAAGACATTTTCAAGCCCCCTTTCAAATGCCGTTGGAATTTAACCTTTTCGTTTTTGGGGCCTGCAAATGGGACATAGTACCTTTAATCAATTGGCAATAGGAATGTGTGATTAGCTAGAACAGGTGGATGAACTAAGAGATAGATCTATTATCAAGGTAGGTGATCTACTTAGATGGAAGGGGTGTATAGAGTTCAGACATTTAACGGCACATTTAAAGAAGTAAAGCAAGATAATATATCACTGGAAAGAAAAGGACTTAGGAGGATCTGAAGTGGTGTTGTGATTGACTCATTGGTCTTTGTAATGGTGCTTAAGGTCAGTTCCCTTCACATGATATGCAGATCTGATTGAGACAAGATAGCAGAAAACTTAATTACACCACTACCTCCTATGATGATAGAAGAAAGAAGCTCAACGTGCCTTCATTGTTACTCCTAAGTATGGCAGGTTTAGTGATCGAGATCTAGGCAAAACTTACGATTGATGGTTGCCATCAATGGTAACTACCATGGAAACCTTTATTTTGATTGGCTGTTGATTGCCAGTAAACAGAAAAGAAATAATATCTTCGGGTTTCATAGAGAAACAGTTGAGCTCAGTAGGAAGAAGATTTGTAATAAAAGATGATTATGATATAACAATTAGGAAATACTTTAGTACTGATCTACATGTGTAAGTTGAAAGTCAGTCAAAATGTAGAACTATTTTACAAGCCAATTCTTCCACAGAGGAAAGGAAGACCTTGTAAGTAGGGGTCCCTTTAAGTTGTATTCATCATTGTCATGTCCATCAATTGATTAGGATGAGCCAGGGGAGGATGAACAGTTGAGTTGTGATAGATGAGCTGATGAGTGAAAACAGGTGGACCTACTAAACAAGGTCTGGTTGACCTAGACTACATCAGTGACATACCTGGCAAACCCATCTATACTACAGTACATGTATTCTCATACATGAGTAGACTACCGGTACATTCTGTGCTGTGCTGTGCTGTGTTGTGTTGTGTCATAGACAATTTTCATTCAGTGCTGTTGCTGTGAACAGATGCTATAAAGTTGATTTTGAAGTTGTAGCTGTTATGCTGCCAGTGGGGTTGCTATGTTAGGCCTGCCTATGACAAGCAAAGAGATGATCCATGTACAGGATGAAGGAGTCAGTATTACCACCTAATTGAGGTCATTGTGTTAAAAGCTGATGCAAGTCAACATACCTCTATCTCTTTCATCCCCCCCCCCCCCCCCCCCCCCCGCTTCCCCTCACCCCCACCCCAAAGAAAAATATATAATAAATTGTAAAAAGAAATAGAATAGGATGTTTAAAAACTCAGTAATTAATGGCATAGTAAAGCTAGCTCACAGTTCAATTATAAAGGATACATGTACCTAGTGTAACTTGTTTTTTAAAGTCGTTATACATCAGTGCTCCACACAAATAACTTTTCTCTGGGTCTAGAGTATTATATAAAGGGTCCTAGTCTTGTAAGGGGGCTGGGGGAGTCCATTGTTAATATTTATTAATTAATACTTGTGTTTACTAGACCCCTATTATTGCCAGGCCCTCTTTGCATAACATTCAAGGTTTTATATTGATTAAGGTGGGCAATTGTAAACAGGATATTGCTATGTTGGGTAGGCCTTAGAAAAGCTTCCATACAATGTGTTCAGAATGCTTTACATGCATCATGTATCTCTAAAGGATAAACAACTGAGATACCTGATCACCCCACCTACTGGTCATCTGTACATACGATCCTAAGTTATTCTCTTGTTATTGTTGACTGTGTATAGCGAGACCCTCTGGAAAATGAGCAAAAGGTCACACTGATCACTGACCATTAGGTTAGTATTGGACCCAAAAGGTCACTCTGATCACTGACCATTAGGATAGTATTGGCACTAAAAGGTCATGCCATTGGGTTTGGATTGCAGGGGTAGGACAGGTGATAATGCTGTATGTTGAGATCCAGGGCCTGTTACCATTGATGGTAACTTTGCTACTAATGGTAACTACCATGGTAACAGGGCTCAACAGCCAATCAAAATCAAGGTTTCCATGGAAGTTACCATTGATGGCAAAGTTACCATCAATGGTAAGTTTTGTGCAACAGGCCCAGAAGCTGTCGTTTGTCTATCCATGCTATATCGCGTTTTTTCACTTTCTCAATTTCAGCTGACGAGGGCCAGTGCCATAGCTGTATACCCCTTCACGGCACAAAGCAAAAAGTAAGTCTTCTAAATTGCTTGAATTGGAAAATTCTTGAGATTTACATATTATCTATTGAGAGCCAGAATGTCCCTCAACTGATGAAAGCAAAAATTCCATTTTTGAAAGCACATTGCCTTGCACAGTACTCATATAGTATGTGTATGTGCATATTAGCAATAGACCAGTTGGTATTTAGCTTTGGTACAAATAACCCCCTGAATATCCACAGATCTTTAACACATAGAGACGTCCCACTTTGTGCATTTTAGAACAAACGGTGCCAAAGTGATGGAGGTGCTTCATGAATACCTCTTGTTAGCGCTCTCGACAAGAATACTTCTACCTGTGTAATAGAGAATTTACTACCTGTACATACATGAATAATGATTTCATAACTTTCATGAACATGTATCCTGTAATTGTCTCAGTGGGTTTTACCATGTTTGGTCCAAATGACCTTAATATGCCTATGAGCAGGGTATATCTATGAACTGGCTTATTGACTCCAATAACTGATGTAATAAGAATTACTGTGTGCATTGAAACGCACACAATACAGATGTGACTATTATTATGATAATGATGCTCTGAATGATAGTATGGATCTTCATGAAAGTTTGTGATTTGATGATGATGACAATAATGATGATGATGATGATGATGATGATGATATGTCAGTGAAAATGTATGACAATGTTACTTTCTGTTATAGAGAGCTGAGTTTCAAGAAGGGTGATACCATTTACCTGACGAGGGAGATCGATAAGAACTGGGTGGAGGGAGAGCATCACGGCAATAAAGGCATCTTCCCAAGGACATATGTAGAGGTAAGATGGTGACAGAATTATATCTAAATGAATTTCATTCACATGTACTAGAAGGACTCATATTCAGACACAAAGAATCCTTTTCAGCAAATTGTGTGTCATTGAAATGATTGTAAGCTATTCACAAAAAAAGAAAGACAAAAAAAAGATCAGAAAGAGAGTAATATAATGAAATGAACTGGCATACACATTGGCAAGCAAAAATGACTTCATCAATATTAAAATGAGAATGCAAAAGGAATTTTCCTTTAAAGATACAAGGAGACAGAAATGATTCTGAATTGAAGTAATGAAAGTTTGAAAGATAAACAACAAAGAATATAGGATTGAACATTAGATAAGATGAGAGAAACAAAGATATTAAGGATGAAAAGACATAATATTTAAGGAGCAGACCACTCACATGTAAAGCCAGAGTGACGAAAGAAAAGATAAAAGGAAAGATGGACAAGTATTGAAAAAAGGGTGTTAAAAACAATGAAATAGACAAAGAACAGCATATACAGTAGGCTTGCGGATGCACCATGTGAGGTCGGTAATCAGTCCTGAAAAGGACTGTTGGTTATCTTTCTTGGCTTATACATAGTAGTTCTAAGGAGAACTATAGCGCTTAGAGAGGATGGGTGGCGGGAGTGGCTCGACGTTTCAAACAGGTTGACTATCCGTCGTCAGGATTGAAAGAACAGCATGTCAGAAATGAAGAGGAGATACCTCATCTAACAAGACATAATTTCCTTGTTTGATGTTTTAGATTGTAACCAGTATTGAAGAAGCAAGGAATCTGCAAGTCAACGCACCAAGCGCAGAAGGAAAAGGCAGAGCTAAGTACAGATTCAAAGGAGAAACAGCCAATGAGCTTTCAGTCAATAAGGTGAGAATAAAAAAATATGGTTACTATGGCAACAGAAAAGAAAGTATATTGATATATAGTTTAGAGTGATCGTCCAACCCATACCGTAATTTCTTTCCTAAATGTAAATATACATTAAAATTTGAAATACCAAGTCGTAGATTATATATATGTGACTATGCTGGGATAAGCAAGAATTCAGCATATAACAAAGTGATATTATATATTTATTGATTGCTACTGTCCATCTCACTCTTTCTCTCTGTCTTGTATTTTTAGGGTGAGATTGTGGATCTGGTGAGGAAGATAGATAATAACTGGTGGGAGGTTCGTCATGGCAACAAGGCTGGCATTGTACCGGTGGCTTATCTGGATGTACTAAGGGAGCCACAGCAAGGTATGCTGATCATATATTCCATTTTCTCTCAAAATAATGAATCAACTTGTAGGACTCGCCTGGAGTTCTATGTAATGTTAAACTAAAACAACTATCTCTCATTGGTAACAAAAATGGTCAAAGTTGGTCAACATTCTGGAAACGGCCTTCATATATCCAGCTGCAACAATCAATGTAATGAATGATTGTAATCTTTAAATCTTTCTTTGCCTACTTATCTATCTGAAAAAAAAGTTTAAACAAATATTCTTCCCTCATTTCTTTTTTTAGATTTCCTGGGTATATGATTGCAAAATGTGATCTAAGAGTGTAGTTCAAGTTCTGATGAGATGTCACATTCTCAATTCTGTGGTTGATTCCTAGTATTGAATGTTGCATTTCTGTTTGTGTCTATAGGCACTCATGGCCAGTCAAGGGTTAAAGGCATCGTTTAACAATGTTAAATCTGAGATACATGGCCCTACATGTTATCAGTGTCTGTGATATGGTGTAATATTGAAGCCCTAAAAAAATTGCACTTCAAAATGATCATGAAGTGTCTCAAAAAAGTAAAAATCTTTGAGTGACCGGTTTTACCATACGCATTTTCCCCAATAGACTTGGCAAACAGTTTGGACATGGCAAACAGTTTGGACATTTCTAATTCCAATCATAAAAATCTTGATAATCAGACAGGCGATCAGCTTGTAAAAGTCATGAGACTCCTGACTGACATAATGGTTGATAATTATGATTGCAGCATGATCTGAAGCCAGGATTCTGTTTCAGAATCTGAGGCATTGTGTAGCATGAATGCCAATCATATAAAGTTCAATCATCAGCATAAGTCATGTGACAGGTCACATGACCATTGTTTACCAACATACCTGCCATTTCATACCAGGGCATGCATGCATCCTGTTTTGATCACACCCATACCAGAATACAGGCAAGGTCAATGCACACCAGAATAGAGTACAACATTGATGGTATGCATAGGAACAGGGTTGCATTTAGTCTGTTGCTGTGTACACCAACAATTTTGTTGTGGAATATTGACTTCATATACATTGTACATGTAGTATCATTATTAATAGTTTGTCATTGTGTCATTTATTCATTTGTTCAGCTATCTAATAAAGACAAATGAAAGTAATCTTAATATTAAGTGCCAGACTAGGCCCGTACCTCAAAATACATGTAAATGTATATATGTAAATAGGCATGAATTACATATACCAGTTTTCAACTATAAAAAATGGACATCAAGCTTTGCTTCTTTCTTTTTTCTTTTGCTCTTTAGTAATTAATTATCCATGCTACAGGTATGTAAAAAGTTGAGAATGTTAGAAATAATAGCAGTGATAATTTAAAATTGTTCTTCTAATCAGGGTTGTCATCACCCCAGCCAAAGTCTCCTGCCAGCTCCGGTGGTGGGCGTGGCCCTCTGAGCCCCAACCAGGCACCCCGGTCTCCCTCCATCCAGGCACACCGGTCCCCATCAACCCAGGCACCCCGGTCCCCCTCCACCCAGGCACCCCGATCCCCTTCAGCACCGGCAGATAATCTCTACCAACCCAGTAGTCCTTACCAGTCAGATACGCCTACACTTGGTAGACAGCAACCCTCCCACCAGAACAGGGCGGGGCAAGGATCGAGGAGTGGTGGTGGTGGTGGTCAGAGGGGGATGCAACCAACAGGTGGCAGACCTGCTCAGGTGGGTATAATCTACACATCTTACCTGGTTGATACATCAAGGGGTCATTGACACAAAGACTTAACACCATTTTGGCCATTTTGAGAAAAAGTGGTTTATGTGTCACTGAGCATTTGGGCCTTAAGGAGTTACGTCTATGTTTCACTAGCCATTGACTTCAATAGGGTGTTGGGTGGAGTTAAGTCTTTGTGTTTTCTGAAAAGCTTACATTTTTCTGAACATTTTGATATCTAATACTCATTTTGGCAAAATATGGAGTTACGTCTTTGTGTCACTGAACCCTCAACATGTACTTGCTACCTACTGGAGGTAGAATCTAGGAGTGGTTTCAATTCCAATCTACCAGTCTACCAGTGATCTGGATTTGCACAATTTCATGCCACAGAGCAAACAAAAAAAGTTGCAAATCCCCAATTTTTTGCTGTAAAAATTGCTGCTGTCAATAGTTCACAAAAGTTTCTGGTTTTGCAGTATTCCATTTCACCTCTCATGTATAGTACCTGTAGTATCTCTAACAATGGAATCTCCCTGCCAACCATTATATATTCATGGATCTTGAAGCCCCACTGCACTACTTATAACTACTTGCGCCCTCTATATAGCAAACAATGCCTAATCAGTGACCATTGGTCCACCATGATCCTCTTTTTCTTATGTTAAGTGAGAGCTGATTTTATGAGATAACCACATATCAAGTGACCTTGCAGGGTGATCTAATCCCTCCTGTAAACTAGTACAGATGGGCTTTAACTCTTTTGTAGAAATTTAACTAGTAAATAATTGAACTTTGCTTTTTCAATTCTAGAAGCAAATTATTTGATCGCTGTAATACTTTTGGACTAGATAATCACACATAGTCAATTCACACCTAACATTGCAAATCTGATTTCAATAATAGATTATTTCCAATAACTTATATTTTTATTTTTTTAAAGACATTGGGATATCCAACCAAGCCGCCCTAAATGTCCATGCATTGTTTGATAATTTGAGGTGATTTTTTTTTCTCTCTGGAACCATTTCTATTTATTTGTTAATACTCATCTTTTATTATCCCTTTAGAATGCTGGCTTCCATCAAAAACGTCCCGATGGTGAAAGGTACGTATATGTTTCCATGCCAACCATTGAGTTCTATTACATTTTTGCCAATTTTACTCAATAATGGTGTCAATAATACAATCTGATATTTGTATAGCACTCATATCCACCATGCAAGGTACTCAAAGTGCTCCATTATTACTCCGGCTCCAGCCAAGTTTGATCAACATTCATGTAGAGTCAGTTGGTCTCGCTGTCTGATTTCTGATTTGGATTATTTCTAGGGTTAGGGTTATGGTTATGTATAGTGTTCAGTCATAGAGTTACAGGCCCGAATCCACTAAGAAGGTTTGTAGACAAACCTAGGAGTTTCAGACCAAGGTTTGTCTGAACCTTGGTCTGAAACGTATCTAAACGCGTCATATGATGCCGCACATAAACCTAGGTTTGTCAACAAACCTCCTTTGTGAATTCGGGCCAAAGTGTTCAGCATTGTGTTTCCTCAGAAAAAAAAGGATATTATAAAGCCATTTTTGACAACTGTACGTGAAGCTTCACTCCTAGAAACTAAACTAACTTACTATCATGTACTAGTTTTACATGTATATTGTGGTAAAGGATAGGCATTCCCTTTGTGAAAGATATAGCAAAAATTCGCAGAAAAAGTTAAACCCTTAAATACACCAACACAGATATGATAACAGGGTAATATGTTGTAGGTAGACAATATATGTTAATTCTACATAGCCCGACTTCTCATGGACTGTTTTGTTTTGTTTAAACTTCGCTGTTTGACTTTACATTTACTTTTAGGATTGTTTGGCAGATAGTACATATATATTCATAAATTTAGAAATAACTCTTGAGTGATGCCCAAACTTAAAATGTACCAATCACCTGATATAGTATAGCTAGAATGTATAAAATCAATGCTGTCAAACTGAACCTGGCATTCTATAGATTAAAGGTAATGCAAAGTTTTGGGAAATTTAGAAAATTGGATAGATAGTAATTCTTTAGAATTTTGATATATTTGGATGCCCCTGTGGATGTATTATAAGCACTACTTAATTTAGCCCCCTCAAACACTTCTGCTTTTGAGAAATTGAATAATCAAAATTTACTGGTGCTCTCGGTAAATTCCAAATATTTCAAATAGCGCCTTAGACCATTCCATGGTAGCTGCGACAATGAAAATCTCGGAATATGCCGTTCTGATATCAAACTGGAATAGAAAATTGGTTGATTGTAGTCAAGAAACATTGTTTTAAAGCTATAGTAATATCAGGCTCGAGAGCGAGCTATACAACATAAAGAGTTTATTATTTACAGTTTCATAACTTTAGACTCAATTTCAACCGCGACAACGATCACTGAATATTGTAGGATTGCATATGCTTCCAATATGTTCATTTGAACCAAATTCATGACCCCACACCAAAACTTTGTATTACCTTTAAGGTATAAGAAAAAATAAAGATTAATATTAAGCCCAGTGTATGGAACCCAAGTCCAAATTGGGTCCAGTATTCTTTGCAAGCATGTCTGCGTGCATCAACTAGTTTACTCTGCTCAACAAGTCATGCTTATGTATTCTGTCATGTCTCTTTATAGAAGTCAATTTGAAGCTCCTATTTGATGATAATAATAGTTTGTTCTTGTAGATCTTATGCAGGCCCTCTCAAAGCACTTTACATATATATATTATTACCCTGGTCATTGGATTCAGGCTTACCCGCACACAACGTATGCACACTTTCCACTCCCTAGGGAGCATTCCAGCCAGGCGTCATTTTTCCAAGCACACACTTGCTCGTCTAATGAATACAGTACAGCGACATGGTACTCCTTGCATCAAGAGCAACACATCTTTGGGAGATTTTAGATTACCTTTGGATTATCTTCAAAGATTAAACTATTATTATCATTATCGTATTCATTATTGTCGTTGTTGTTTATTATTAATGTCACTATCATAATGATTGCATTGTAGATTCCGTGCAGTGTACAGCTACCAGCCTAGCAACGATGATGAGCTAGAGATCATGGAAGGAGAAACGGTGGTTGTCATGGAGAAATGTGATGATGGTTGGTATGTGGGATTCTCAGAAGCAACAGGACGATTCGGTACCTTCCCTGGGAACTACGTGCAGAGACTATGTAAGTCATAATCATTGTTTTCCAATGAAATCGCTCAGCTCAGTATAAATGTATTGTGTTTTTAAGACCAGGGGGGTACTTCATAAAGCTGTGCTTTAAGTTACACATGACTTTACGAATGACTTAAATATCAAGAGCAAAATGAGATTCTCAAATCCTTTTAATTGCATAAGCTAAAGTTGAAATATGCAGATGTAGATCAACCTTATCAGTATTAACAAAATATTTTAATGCAAAGTGTATTATTGGCTACAATTTAATTGAGATTATGGGAAATACAGTCACACTTTGTTATAATGTCAGCAAAAACTTTGGGCATCCAATTTTGCTCTTCATATTCATATCATTTGTAAAGTCATTCCTAACTTTACGCCCCAGAAGGGCCGTCAATTGACACAGGTTGAACACCATTCAGCTTTCGACGGGCAATATGTGTGTGTGTATTTTTTTTTTGGGGGGGGGGGGCAGAAATCAATGGTTCATTCCACATAGTCTTCTAATTTGTTCCGGTTTAAAATACAGGGGATATGGGCATGATGATGATGATGATGATGATGATGACGATGATGATGACGATGAGGATGAGGATGAGGATGACGATGACGATGATGATGATGATGATGATGATGATGATGATGGTGGTGGTGATGGTAAAGATGATGGTGATTTTGATGGTGATGGTTGATGATGATGATGATGGTGATGATAATGATGATAATGATGATGATGAAGATGTTGGTTTCTTTCCATGGATGTATATGAGGATGTTCGTAGTAATAGCGATATACTTCTTAATTGCTTGTAGCGAGGAGCCATTGCGGTCCTTCATATCAGTGATTGATGTAGCAACCATGATGATAACTTTCAGTCTTTTCAAATGGCTCATTGAGTGTATGTTGTACATTGAGTGTATGTTGCACTCTCGTGTGAACTCAAACTATAAATCATGGGAAAAAGCTTCAGGAATTGGGTCTATTAGATCCCTATTATTCAGAGGGGATGAATGAATAGATCATCCCCCTGAACAATAGGTATTATCTAGACCATGATATTTAGGACTATAGATGATCATCATTTATTGCCTAGTAACCTTGGTACTAGTCCACAGTTGAGCTGGTGTAAAGAATGACTATTGATCAATGAATCACATTTAATGATGGTCGACGTGTGCCAGATGTCTGTGAAGCTTACACAATGTCGCTTCATACTTGTGTTGCGTGCCTTACCCACATCAAAGAAACATTTCACCCATTAAATCTCTTCTACAGCTGTGTCTGAAATTAGTTTATATTCTTGAAAATCCCTCAACCAAGCACATTGAATCGTACGTATTTTGTAGCACTTAAAATAGGTGACGTGTAACACATAAGCAATTACATATAAGAAAGAAAGTCATGACTTTTTAATGAGGGGAGGGGGGGGGGGTAGCAAACTGATAATATCATGTGAACACTGTGATAGGATGTGTACAAACATTTTGATTGTTACCCTGACAACTAGATCCTAGATAATTTCCGCTTTAAATTCATTCCCCCATAGTGGGGGCGGGATTTGGAGAGAGAGGGGGCAGAGGGACAGCTAGAAAGGGGAAGAGAGAGGGGGGGAAGAGAGACAAAAAAAAGAGGTAGAGAGAGAAAAAAATAGAGAGGCAGAGAGAGGAGGAAGGAGGAGAGGTAGTACAAATCAGTGGATCAAGCTAAGGGGTTTAGGGGGTTTAAACCTCCCTCCCCCCCCCCCCGAAAAAAAAAGTAAACCCCCCTCAAAAAAAAAAATATATTGGTCAGCACTTATTTCAAATTTTGGCCCCCCCTCCCCCCTTCTTGGAAAATCCTGGATCTGCCAGTGGGTCAACCCCCACCCTCACTCCCCCCTCACCCCCCCCCCCCCCCTTATAGCAAAAAGCTAGATCT